AAAGAAAAATAAAGTCTAGGGTGAGAAAGTAAGATGTAAGGCAGAAAAATATTTTATTTTTAATATTTTTATTTATATGTGCATCTGTGGGTGTGTAAGTCACGTGCATATAGGTGCGTTGGATCCCCTGGAGCTAGAGTTCCAGGTGGTTGTGAACCTACTAATGTGGTTTCTGGGAACCAAACCTGGGCCCTTTGCAGGAGCAGCAAGTGCTCTTAACCACTGAGCCATGTCTCCAGTCTGAGAAATACTTTAAAATACAAAAACCACACAGAATAAATATTTATTCTCTCTCCTACCCCAAAACACATATATACACATACAGTGGACTTTGGGGCAAATGGCTCTGAGTTAAAATTCCAGTCCTGCTTCTACTATTAAATGTTAGTCCTCTACGTTTCCAAATCTATGAAGTAGTTTAGTTGTGATATATGGCGTTAAGTTTAGACAAAATGTTCTGTATTGCTGGCAGTCAGAGACAGTAGTCCCTCCTTTCCTGGCCCTACTCAAAATTAGGGTTATCAAATAAATTACAAGCAATCATGGGACATACTCAAAATGATTCCTTGTGTGGGCTATAGAGGTGCTGGCCTTACTCCCAGCATGCGGGAGGCAGAGGCACTTGGATCTCTGAGATAGAGGTCAGCCTGGTCTATACAGTGAGTTCTAGGCCAACTGGGGCTACAGGGAGACCCTGTGTCTCTCAAAGAAACAAATAAACAAAGATTGTTTATCTGAAATCTGAATTAGCTGGGCATCATATTTTTGTTTTCTCTACATCTCACAGCTCCACCCAAAAGAAAATAACTTGGATCCAGTGGGCCATGTTAAAATTTACAAGCCCTAGTGAAGAGGGGAAATGATGGGTCGTGCTGCCCCCTACTGGTAGACTGTGGCAACACCAGCCATCCAAACAAGTGCGTCACTTGTCCAGCGGGTTTCACAGAAACCTCCAGTCACAAACACGCACGGATAAGTGGGGCTTTACTATCCCTCTAGCCCTTTATTCTAAACTTCTCCTGAAGTTCTCACTGAAAACTACATTTCTTCTTAGCTATGGTGGCTTTATACCTTTGCTTTGTGTTTTGTTTTCTTTTAAGACAGGGTCTTGCTTTACTGTCCTGGATGGCCTGGAAACTCATTATACAGACCAAACTGCCTTTAAACTCATGGCAATCCTCCTGCCTCAGTCTCCCAAGTGCTAGGATTACAGGCATGCGGCACCACACCCTACTTGCTTTATTACCTTTTTGTCAGGGTGAGTAAAAATATTTGTATATTTAGAACTTACAACTTCCTGTTGGATTTCAATGTGCTTTGCTTGTCTGTTTGAAATTGTACGTCTTCACTTAACAAAACCATGTTAATCAGTACATGAATATTTGTTTGTTCTTACAAAAGTATGTTGTATTTTATGTGTGCTGTGCTAGCACATGCAAATACACCGTGAACTGATACATAGCAGAGGCTTAATAAGGCGATTGACCTTTGTTATTATAGGGATATCATCTTGGTATATTCTTAAGAGGAACTTGGAGAGTTCATAAATAGCACCTAATGGCCAGGAGGACAAATGAAGCTCTCTGGAGGCAATCTCTGGCAGGAGTTGAGGATAGGGGTAAAACTCAGCTGCTGTGTTCTCTGGATCTGGGTTTGGCAACTGGATGGTCTAGGTCTAGGAACTGAGCAGCAAGTGTGCTCCTCTCTTCCCATGGCTGTCTGAAGCCTCTCAATAGGGACAGTCAACATCTGCCCCTCTTTACCTCATCCCTTGGTAGAGGGCTGACTACTCTTCAAACAGCAAGCTGCCCAGCAGCACAACTTAGTATTCATGCTGAGATGCTCCAGGTAGGACACAAGAGAAAATCCCCTGAGTGTCTCAGGCCCTCAAGTGCCCAGTGTCTGAGAACTTGTAGCAGGAACAGGAGCCTACGTTTTTCCCAGGTCAGCCTCTCCGGCCTTGGGAGATTTCACAAAGGAACTCGGGGCTGATTCCTGTTTCTTTTGGTGCCTTTTCATTGACAAGTACATCTTCACTGTGGCTAACAGCAAATTCCTCTTTGTTCCTCCACAGCTACGCCTCCCTGTTCAGACATGGAAATGGAATCCAGTATGGAAGAAAATGATTGGTTCCCAAAGAAGCGGGGCAAAAAGGTTGCTGACAAGTGTCTGGACCTGAATCGCAGTGGATTAACAGCAGCAGATGTGAAGGAAATGGGTCTGTATGCAGTTGACCTCCTATAGAAGAATGTGAAGTCTTTATTTTGAGAGGGGCAGGCAAAACACACACAGTGACCCATCTGGCAAGTCAAAGGTGCCTGTGTGGTTCTAGACAACCCAGAAAGCAGTGCACCACTATTTAAGCAAACAAACAAGTTAAGTAAGGGCCTGGGATGTAACTCAGTTTACTGAGTGTTTGCTTAGCATGCATGAATCCATGTGTTTACTCCCCAGCACTGCATGTGCCTGTAATTCCAGCACTCAGTAGGTGAAGCAGGAGGGTCAGACGTTTAAGGTCATCTTTGGCCATATAGCCCAGTCTGGGAGCCCTGAGCTCAACTATTGTGGAAGAAAATAACATTCTAATGAAAATCAAGTGTGATATGTTGGTTTTGCGATGATTGAAAGTTGTTGAGATTATTGTTTTGTAGCAAAAGGCACTGGTTACTTGGAGCAAATAAAAGCTTTCTGTAGCTGCTTCTTTAAAAAAAAAAAGGAAAACAAACCAAAGTTAACTGGTCCTTCCTAAAGCTTCAAAGGTTTGAGCTTAGGAAATCAATTCACTTGTTTTGTTTTTTAACCCTGAGCAATTTTACCTGCCTAGTAATCATTCCTTGCGCTTTGAGATAAATTCATTCTTGCTACAAGCTAAGCTAGGGAGCTGAGCCCTGCAAAGAATTTAAAGTTTATTATTGTGGGACAAAAGACTTCCAACAATTATCGCTTACGTCTTCTATAAACAAAAGTAACATATTGTTTGCTGCAATTCAGTGAACGTGAAGAGGGCTCCTCCCCACATCACCCTTTCTATTCTGGTTCCCAGATACCTTAAAACAGTCTTCTGAAAGGACTGTATGTGTCTTTTGATGGAGTTTTGATATCCTCAAGACTGATGCTGAGTGAGGAGTCCTTGACATTCATGAACAGCAGAAACTGAGTTCTCCCAGTGCCAGAATCTGGGAAGTCCAAGACCAATGCCATGTGCGCTGGTGTAGTTTCACTCTTTCTTTTTCTTTTTTCTGTTTTGGGAGTTTCTTTTTGTTATTTTGCTTTGGTCTTTGAGACAGGGTCTCACTATGTGGCCCTGGCTGGCCTGGAACTCACTATATAGACCAAACTGGCCTGGAATGCACAGAGACCCACCTGCCTCTGTCTCCTGAGTGCTGGGATTAAAAGCCCACCCTATTTTAATTAAGATCCACAGTACGATGGGATAGACCTCTTTAAATTTTTTAAATTACATTTATTTATTTATTATTTGTTTTCTCTTTGTGTATATGTGTGTGCATGCGTGTGAATGTCATTTTGTATAGGCGGAGGTGAGAGGACAGTTTGCAGAAGCCAGTTCTCTCCTTCTACCATGTGGAACCTCTACCATATGGATCTACCATGTGGATCAAAATTAAGTCAGGTTTGGTGAGCAAGCACCTTTACTAGGTGAGCCATCTTGCCAGCTCTGGGACAGGGCTCTTAAAAGAGAATGACAAGCCATGGCTTTCCTGTGGGATCAGAACCACTTGAGCACATGTGGTAATGCAGTCACCCAAGTCCAACCCAAACCTACCAGACCATACTGTCAAAGTGGCCCCCAGGATCCTGCATGTTAACACACCCCACGGGGAACCCTGAGGCACATTGGTTTCACAACTGACGACATTTTATCTATGGTAGCTGCATTTTCTCAATGAGATTGCAAACAGGAAGGAGGCTTGACTTCCTTTATGAATCCAAACAAAAATTGGAGTGAAAGGCACATGTTTCAAGTTAGAAAAACAAGCAAGGTGTTTCTATTTATTTATTTATTTATTTATTTATTTATTTATTTATTTATTTATTTATTGTGGAACTGGGAGTTGAACTGACTGTCTCATACATGCTAGGCAAATTCTCTATCACTGAGCTATATTCTCAGTTCATGCATCCTGTGCAGAAAGTAGCAAGGTGATTTTAAATTTCATGTGTAGTTGCAAAGAACACAGAACAAGGAAAACTGCCTTGAAAAATGAACGAAGTTTGAGGACTCACTCTCCTGATTTCAAAATGTACTATTAAGCAACAATAATCAAGACAGTATGGCAACTGCATCAGGAAGAATACACAGTCCAGGCATACATCTAGAGTCAGTCCTTCAATGCTGAGCCATCTCTCTGGTCCCTGCTTTGTAAAGTTTTGACCATGGTGAATAGGCTGCAATGACTGAAGGACTTTGCTACTGGAAGGAAAAGTTTTCACTGGAGCTTTATTTCAGAATTTTGGAGTTGGAATCACAATGCCTGAAACTTCAGAAGCCCAGCATGATGTGTCCCATGCTGCAATTTCAGCATCCAGGCCATGTTGCGGCTTTCAGTGCTTCATAACCCTACTGACCACATCCACGCTGAAGTTTTGCCGCTCCTATACAGAGATGCCCTTCAAGAATCTTTTCCACAGAGAGTCAGTCACTTTGTTTTTAACAAGCAGTGACAGTCTCGGTGGAGGCAGCCATCAAACTCTACACCCACAACACCTCTCCATCGTGGTCCATTTAAATATGAGATAGTGATGGCTGAGGTAAGAAAGGAAAGGCAAGGGGCATGCCTGTTCCCAGCAGACTTGGCTAGCAGAGCATTGCCCAGCCCTTTAGTCTGAGGATTCAATAGGAGGATGCATGTCAGAGTTTGCAAAAGAAAAAGATCAGTATGTATGTAACAGTAACTGATGCATTAACCACAGCTCGCATTACGGCCACAAGGTTAACTACAGCACAGAAAGTTCTATGGGATGGATCTTGTGGAGACTCTGTGTTTACAGAGTGCAATTATTTGTCAGAAAGAGAAAACATCCCCCAAATTAGGAACTGTAAAGGGCTCGATTTCTTTAACTGCACTGACAAGAGAGCCCCATTTTGCTGAATGTTGACATGCCTGCTGCCTGTATTTTTGTACAATGCAGAACTAAATTTTATACACATGGGCATTGAATTAAAGTTATTACAAAGCACAAATTACATGTCCAAGTCGTCACTTTCTTTTGTCCATTTCTAGATGCTTTACTGCCTTTCCTCCCGGACGTGGAAGAACTGGATATTTCCTGGAATGATTTCATCAGCGGGACCCTCCACTCAGTCATGCGACAACTCCATCTTGTCAGCAAGTTAAAAATCCTGAGGCTCAGTAGCTGCAGACTCACCACTGAGGATGTTCAAGCACTGGGTATGGTGAACACTTCTGTTAAAATATGGATTCTCTTTGTATGCTGACTTGAAGAATAAATTTAAAAAATAAAAAAGGGCTGGAGAGATAGCTCAGTTTGTAAAAGACTTGCCTTGCAAGCATGAGGACCTGAGTTTGATCTCCAGAACCCAGGAAAAAAGCTGGGTGTGGTAGCCCCTGCTTGAAATCTCAGTGCTGGGGAGGCAGAGCCAAGTGATCCCTGGGACAGACTTGCTGGCCAGCCAGCATAGCCAATCAGCAAGCTCCAGACCAATGAGAATCCACTCCCAAAAAACAAGGCAGACAGAGGTATCCAAGTAACACCTAAAGTTGTCTTCTGGTCTCCACACATATGTACACACACACATACATGAGATGAGAGAGAGAAAGAGAGAGAAAGAGAGAGAGAGAGAGAGGTGCACACACAAAAATTTAGGTGAAAATAAAAAACATTGTTCTCTTTCAGTATCTTTTCTTTTTTTCAGTTTCAGATGGCATTTAATGAGAACTTATTACATACTTGAAATATGACATATATATATATATAATCTTGTTTAATCCTTATGAAAAACTCTGGAGGCTCTGGAGGAGGTATAATATGTTTCAGAGGAATATAAATATAAATGGTTCACATAGGTAAAATGCACATAGCTAGTGAACGGTCTTGAATCCAGGGTTCAGAAGGGACACTGGGACAGATTGTCGTGGCGGAGTATGGAGTTTATTAGAAGAGATATTAATGCCATGGACAGACAGATAGACAAGCAACAATATGGCAGGACCTCTAAGCAGAGTTCAGAATCCAACACAGAGACAGACATCATGGCAGGGTTTCTGAAGAGAGGACATCAGGGGCCCATATGACAGAAGTAGAGGTTGCCTCTAAGTCCTTTCTGAGGATGTGGGAGGTATTACAGCATAAGCCTTCAGCCAGGCTCTCTGGTTCCAGGCAAGAGGCAAGGAAGGAGGTGGGAAGCAGGATGTAGCACCAGTACCCAGTTTGCTGTAAACATACTTTCTCAGGTATAGGTCCTGGCACCTGGAAGTCAGTTAGCTAGACACTCACAGACATTGTCTCTGGAGGATGGCTTTTCAACTTGACCCATCAAGGACAAACAGTCTGCATCATTCTTTGAATGGGTGATCATGGTCAAAAGTGCTCCATGACACGCTGTTATGCTGAGTGCCTGAGTAACAGCTGAAGAGCTGCTCTGTAGCCCTGCTGTGTAGCCCTGCTGTGTAGCCCTGCTCAACCGACTACCTGCTTGCATGGTTTTTAAACCAGGTATTGTAAACCTAGCTCACTCTGGGTCTCATGGCCTCATTTATACAATGGGAAGTTGGAGTAAATATGTTACGCTCTTTTTAAATTACAATACGATTCCCTCTTCTGTTTTCCTATCCTTATCTTAAAAAATTGATCAAAGCGATTTTGAACCAAACCTGACGGTTTCACTACAACCAGAGCCTCAATTAAGTTAGTTTATGTGCTAAACAAACATAAAATTTGTACAGATTCATACTATGTATCCAAATCTCTTCCAAAATGTTTGTTTCTTTATTTTGAGCATTTCCATCTCTTCAAAGATTTCTGTTAGGAAAATGCATGTCAAATATCTCCACCCTTTAGCCCCTTGGAGGTGACCCAAGAGTCTCTACCTGTTAACTGCCCTGCCACCTCAGCTGTTTTCCTGTGAGAAATGGCTTCAGACAGGAAGTGGACAACTGCTTCCTCTCTACCCTCCAGGCTGTTCGGCTGTAACAGCTGTTGGTGCCTGATAGTCTGTCATCACTTCCTCTCTGTGGTGGTTATGTCAGTGATGTCACAAGAGGCCAGTGGAGGCCAGTATATAACCCTGCCCACTCTCCCTCTAGCTGAGGAGAAACAGGTCAGGTGCTGGCTCAAATCCTAGTTCTTTTTTAACTCATTTTGTAAACATGAACAAGTAATTTAACGCTTCTGAAACTTGTTTTGAAAAATCTTTGAAATGAGGGTAACATCACCCTCAAGACTGTAGAATTGATTCCTATAAAGTGCCTACTACATTTCTGGCACACAATAGGTGCTCAGCATTTGAATTCCTTTTTTCTCTGTTCTCTCCTCCAAGTTGGTTTGCATCATCCATATATCTGACCGGGTAGCAGCTGCTTACCGTGGTGCTGAATCTCAAATTTAATATATTAATTGCTCAGATGTGAAAAGATGCTTTTGTTTCTCTTGTTTCCTGTGATTAGGCTGATCTTTTTCATGATCCTGCATCTTCAAGAAGCCAGGAAATAGGATTTCTTCCCTGGAACATAGCCACACTTCCGTTGTCCAGGACAGAGGCAGTGCTCTCCTCTCTCTGATACTTTGTGGCCCTCTCCCCAAAGTTGTTCTTTCTGGAAGAACTTCTTTATTGTCCCCAGCGTGACAGACTTCTTTATCCTCTTACCTCTTCTCAAGACGGGATACACCAGCTTCTTAACTTAGCCTGGATGGTAGACGGGGCACAGGGAGAATATGCTCTTTGTTGATAAAAGGATAAATTAGGAGGCACTTAATAGCCATCTCTCCCTTTACAGTTGCTTGTGCTGAATCGCCAGTGCACAGCCCTCTTGTACCATGGCCACAATCAATCCTGCATCGTTTTTTTGGATTTGGGGTTGGGGGCACCTCAGGGCTATGGAAAGTCACCCCAGGCTGACTAGCAATGGCCCACAAAATGGCACCTGCTCATTCCTGTTTTAAGATGTTGTAACTTGTAGGGAACATTCATTTCAGGATGGGACTCCTGGGCTACCACAACTTTAACAAATAGAATGAGTAAACAATGGTAGATGTTGTAGCCAAGTGGGACAGGGTGGCAGGAGGTTCTGGATACAGAGACTTTCCAGGGTTCTTAACTGTTCACATTAAGACTGACACTGCACACTGAGGAAGCATTCTCTCTCTCTCTCTCTCTCTCTCTCTCTCTCTCTCTCTCTCTGTCTGTCTCATATGGTATGGGAGTGTGTGCATGATATGTGTGGTACGTAGATGAGGTATGTGTGTGGCGTGCAGTGTGTGCGGTGTGTATAGTATGTGGTATACATATGTAGTGCGTCTACATACAGTGTGGTGTGTGATGTGTGTATGTAGTATATAGTTTGTGTGTTTGTGGTGTGTGCAGTGTGTGTGATATATGTGTGTGTGTTTGTATGTATGGTGGGTGGGTGTGGTATGTGTGTGTTTGTATATGTGGTGTGTGTGTGTGTGTTTCCCCCCTTAAGATGGTGAAAGTCACTAGCACTTTCACTGTTCCCTCCTCCCCTTAGCTGTTTTCCTGTGTGAAATGGTTTCAGACAGGAAGTGGCTGTGGCAGCTGTTGGTGCCTGAAGCTCTATCAATACTTCTCTGTGGTGGTCAGTTTCTTGTTTTGCCTTTCTTGCACCTGTGATCAAACTGATCCCAAGGAGAGGAGATGGGAGAAAACAGATGGACCATTACAGGCATTTACTACCACAAAACAGCCCAGGAACGCCGTCCCACTGATGGGTGGGTTGTTCACAGCTGTGGATTTGTTCCAGAGCTTTCCGGGGATGAGAATGGCTGTGCTCCCCACATGTAGGCCTCACCCTGCTGTGAGGGGCAGGAACTGGGTCCTTTTCTTCTCTCTGCTTCTCATCTGTGAACACAAGAGTCTGGCTCAGCTTCCATCCTCCCTACATAATGGCTGTCCTGGTTTGAAGGAAGCTCTGCCTTTCTGATTGTTGACCCACTGAATTCTGGGGATATTTTGTACTAGGAGCAGCTCTTGAAACAGTACCTGAACTTGAAGAACTAAACTTATCCTGGAATAGCAAAGTGGGAGGAAGCTTGCCTCAGGTTCTCCATGCATTCCAGATGGGGAGCAAGATACAAGCTCTTGAACTTGTAGACTGCGCCCTCACATCAGAGGATGGGGTGTTTGTGGGTAAGTAAAATTTGGAAAAACTTTTTCCCAGAAAGAGGATGTCTGTGATTGGAGCTGGGGCCTCTAGGTTTGCTGTGCTTCCTCTGACCTGAGCTGAAAGGAAGGCCCTCACCCTCCCCTGCCAGTTCGCCCCCCTTCTCCCACTCCCCTCTTCCTCTTCCTCTTCCTCTTCCTTGCACTGGGAGCTGCAGGAGTCACCCGCTTACCTTTCACACAGTTTTCATGGCTGTTCTTCCTGCTTGGATTTCCTCCCTTCCAGGTCACTTGCTCGCCAAGCTGCCAAGCCTTGAAGTACTTGACCTCTCCATTAACATAAACGTTGGTGGCAGTCTAAATAGTATTGCACAGGGATTAAAAAGCACGTCAGTTCTGAAAATACTGAAGTTACATTCATGTGGATTACCAAAAGAGAGTGTTAAAATATTGGGTGAGTTAGCAAATGCTGAATTTAAGATTATACATGTAAAATATAAACTATATCGTACATTGGGGTGGGTGAGATAGCCGAGCAGGTAAACTGCACACAGCCCAGTGACGTGAGTCTGATCCTTGGGACCCATGCTGGAAGGAGAGAACCAAGTCTCTAAAGTTGTGTGTGCCTATGGCACACACACACACAAAATAATTTTAAAATATATCATATAGAATATATATATGATACATTATATGATATACATATATATGTATACATATTTAAAAGCTATTAGGATATATAAATGGTAGTTATGTTAGAGAATAAAATTAGACATGAATATTCTTTATTTATTTTATTTTATTTTTTCAGTGCTAGGAATTGAACTCAGGGCCTTACTGAGAGCTAGGATTATTTATTTTTTAGCTCTTTTACAGTAACCATACATTTTCATTATTACAAAAAGAACCTTTTAAGCCAAGCTTGCTGGCATAGACCTGTAATCCTGAAGGCTGAGGAATGAAGATCACAAGGTGAAAGTCTTCCTGAGCAACAGAGTGAGTTCAAGGACAACCTGGAAAACTTGAGAACACTGTCTCAAAATTAAAAAAGGGGTAGGGCCAGGCATGGTGGCGCAAGCCTTTAGTCCCAGCACTCGGGAAGCAGAGGCAGGCAGATCTCTGTGAGTTTAAGGCCAGCCTGGTCTACAAAGTGAGTTCTAGGACATCTGGGGCTACAGAGAGACCCTGTCTCAAAAAGACCAAAAAAAAGGGGAGGGGAGAGAAGGGAGGGGAGGGGAGGGGACTCACCACTCACTTGCTGAGCTTGTGTAAGGCCCTAGATTCAACACCACACACCCAAACATCTTTCCAAATGGCTAACTCTGAAAAGGCCAGGGTATTTTAGGTATGGACTAGACATTGGGCAAAATAAAAGTTTTTACAATATTAAAACTGGAATGTTCACTGTTACTTTGAAAAACTTCAGAATTGTTTTATGGCCGGTGCTAGAAAAGAATTGGTATTGATAATAAATAAATAAATAATGGCTCTAATGGTTGTTTAAGGTGCAGCAGATACAATGGTGTCTATGGTACAAATTCAGTAGTTTATGGTGAAGATTCAGTGATGTCTGTGGTGCAGAGTCAGTAGTGTTTATGGTGAAGATTCAGAGGTGCCATCTATGGTGAAGACTGAATGGTGTCTACGGTACACATTCAAAGCTGTCTATGGTGAAGACTTATTCTTATTATAGAGAATTACATTGTATTTTTTCTGTGACTTTCTGAGCCCACAACATCCTTTACTGGCCTTGAGTAAATCCAAGGTTAAAGCATAAATCATGGCACGCAGTCACTTGTCCTTGTACGTTTCAGACCAGAACCAGTAACAATCAATTCAGATCTCAGGGAATGAAGGTGAAGTCACTGCTGGGCCCCCTGAGGCCCTGGTGATAATCTTGTTACTCTTTCTTTTGGTTGCACAGGCACTTAGCCTGCCCTCCCTTGCTGGAGGCTGTCCCACTGCTTGCAAGATGAGTTTCAGGAACCCGATTTCTGCTTGCTTTGTAGATGATGTATTTACACACTTGGATGGGCTGAGGAAACTGGATCTCTCCTGCAATAAGGAACTGGGTGGAGGTTTTGAAGATGTGCCTGCTCGGTTGGTCTTGCTGAAACATCTAGAAGTCCTCAACCTTCATCAGTGCTCGCTAACAGCAGATGACGTGGCTTCGTTGAGTACGTGTACCCTATGGAGCAAAGTCTTTTGGAACCTGGGCATATGCTTTGAAATGGGATCTTTAAGATGTGCTCTTAAATTCACTGGTCAAGTCATCAAAGTTCTATGCCTAGTGAATGTTAATGGATCTAAGTTCCTCATGAACTGTAATGGTCACCCTTGCGGGGGGCCGGGGGGGCTGTGCTTGTTTCTTGACAGTGAGGTGGTAGGTGTAGGGCTTGGCCCTGGGACTTGAGCCTTTTTGCAGCAAGTGAACTTTATTGAAAAATTCAGTAGGTTTTTATACAACACAAGGAACTGGCAGTCATGTGGTGTTTGGCAGTTACACACAAAGATTTAGGGCACAATTAGATGAGAAACAGGACATATAGCTTTTAGTTGGTGCCAGCTAAGGGCTGTTTGTAAAACAGGATGTTTGACTTTACTCAGGGTTACCTGAACATAGTAAAGTTTTAACTTTAGCACAAGAGTAAACTTTTAACCTGGCCGATTCTTTTAGCTAATGAGAGCTGAGAGTTATTTGTTCAGAACAAGGAGGTGGGCTAAAGGCTGTTGCCCAAGATGCTTTCCCTTAGAGCAAGGAGCTTAAACTTTTGACCTGGCCACATTTCTCCTGCTAGGCAGTCCTGCAGTGTTCAACAAGACAGGGATTTGAGGATGCTGTGTTCAGTATCCCTCCCTTCAGCAGAGATCATAGCCTGGACTTTAAAAGTTTCAGGTCCATCTCACCCTAGGGCATGCCATCCTGGTTTCCTACAATGAACACATCTGTAAATGGATTTGGGACTTAAAGGGGAAAATTTTAAATTTGTGTTGCTGTTTAGGACATAAATCTTAGTGTCACAAACTCAATTACACACAGGTATACAGAACACCGAAATGAAGGGTCTGAAGCTTTCAAACTACAAAGCCAGTCAAGTCACTCTGAAACAATGGAAGCTCCTGAGAAACAGCCGGGTGTGGTCCATCATGGGTATACCTTACAACTTTAGATAGCAACAGTTACTTTCCTTGCACCAACGTAGTTCCATAGTTACTACCTATAATCAATCTGTAAATGCAATTTCCCATAGCAAACAGAATAGAGATTAAGGGTGTGTTTGGTTTTTCCCACTGTGGACACAATAAACCTTCAACACATATCTAGAATCTTACCACAGCTCACCATTCAAACCTCTGTCACCCTGGTTCAGGGGCCTGATATCTTATGCCTAGGTTGTCGCAAAAGCCCAGCTGTCTTCCTGTCGTCTTCCCCACTCCCCACTGACTTCACTCAGGCCTTGTTGAGCCTATTACATATCAGGTCGCACTCTGGTCTGGGGGTCTTCACTTTTGCTCTGATAGAGGGCAACTCCAAGTTGAGGATGGTTTCAGTCCAGCACCTCCCCGTTACTCCAGTACAAGTTCCTGCACATACCTGCTTCCCAATATAGGCTTTTGAATATGCAAATGAATAGCAAATAAAAATAGCACGAATTTTAAAGTGTAATTTGGGGCAAGAAAATGGTAAAATAAGTTTTCGGGTCTTAACAAACACATTTTGGATTTGCTGAATTATTTCTCAGTCTCCTGTACCTCAGTTTGGAAAAGCAAGAAGAGTTTAAGCCTTTCATGAAGATTTTCAAGTAAAATAATCCCTCTTTGCAGTTGGCATGGAGCATCACACAGTATTTCCCTCCCCTTGCAGTCTATGGGGACACTCTTGAGTTACCAGGCCACCAGAGTCCTGTGAATGTCACGTCTTACATTGTTACTCAGGAAGATTATGGTGCTAAGGAGCCATAACCACCAGCCATTAACATCAATCAGCATAGCAGAGGGATAAACCGCCTCACCTAGGACATGAGAGGCTGGTCTTGGGAAGCTAATGGTTCTATAAGAAGTATAGAAATTGGCTGCTTAATTCAAAAGGATGAGATGAGGTGCAGCCAGCTTTCTTTTTTATTGTGTTAAATTACTCAGCATTCACTGATCTGATCTCTGCTGATAACTCCAAGGAATGGAGTTACAGATCATTTAGCCAGTAACTGTGGATTAATCTTCCAACTGTAAGAAGCACTGTGCCATGGGCTACAGAAAATTTAAACAGAGCCTCAGTGTTGACAGCAGGAAGAAAACAGTAGCTGTCCGTGTTCTGTGTGGAAATCTGAAATGCTGTGGGGATAGTTATCCCCACTGAGATCGCAAGTTTCCCCTGGCTTCTCTTCCTTTTCTTTTCCTCACCTCCCCCTCTCCTTTTACAAACATGCGTGTCTTAATGTTCCAGGTACTTACCCCCACTTTAGAGAGGTAGTCCCCCCCACACATAGAGCTTATCTTCAGTGAAGAAGGACAGAAAACACATATGAAGCAAGGCAAAGCATGCAAACATGCAAAGCAAGACAAAGCATGCAATCATGGGTGCTATCAGAAACAGGAGTGTGAACAAGAGGTTACTTGGGCTTGGGTGGCTCCGAGGCTCTGAGATGAGCCAGCTCCCAGAGCTCCCAGGACATGTGAGTCCTGCAGTGTAAGTGCAAGGAGGGTAACGGCCTGTAAGCAGGAAAGTAGCAGAAAGATGGTGAGGCAGGGCTGACCTCGGGCTGCTAAGGCTGCAGTGCTCTTACCAACGGGTGCCTGCTCTGACTGCCTCTTTCCCTTGCCTTACTACATACATTTTAAGAAAAGAATAACAGGGGCTGGAGAGATGGCTCAGCAGTTAAGAACACTGACTGTTCTTGCAGAGGACCCTGGTTCTAATCCCAGCATCCACATGGCAGCTAACAACTGTCCGTAACTCCAGTTCCAGGGGATCCGACAGCCACTTCTGTCCCCCAAGGGCATTGTACGACATGGGTGCACTTACCTACATGCAGGCAATATACGCATACACATAAAATAAATAAATAAATAAATAAAATATTTTTTAAAAAGAAAAGAATAACAGCAGACATTAATACATGTCAGGCACTACACCAAACACTTTACAGTGATCAAGTCACTGTGCTTTCCCAGTGATCCTGTGCACAGGTATGCTATGGCTGAGAAAACCAATGTTCTGAGCAGGTCTCTAATGCAAAAACACACAGTTTGTAGTTATTCTCGCTACTTTTTGTGTCTTCAGAATTGAACCTCAGGCCTGCCCACTCTAGGCAAGCACTCTATCATGTATACCCAACCCTCTTTTTTACTTAAAAAAAAACACTCTAAAAATATATTTTCTTTATTATTTTTATTTTACATATATGAGTGTATTCCCTGAATGCATGTAAGTACACCTGTGTTATGCAGAAGAGGGTATTGTTTCTTCTGGAACTGGAGTTACAGATAGTTGTTAGCCACCATGTAGGTGCTCTTAACCACTGAGCCACCTCTCCGACCCTTGCTTTTTGTTTTGAGACAGGGTCTCACTAAGTTGCTCAGGTAGGCCTTGAACTTTCCATTCACTGACCTCAGCTGCTCAAGTAGCTAGTATTATAGGTCTGGACTGCCAGGCCTGGCTAATCTTACAGTTTCAGGATTAGAACTCAGTTCTTTGTCTCTGTAGACTTTGCTTTTTTCTTCTAGCCCAAGGAGAGACTTGGGAGAAGAGAAAGAGGAAGAATACCCTGGCAGGAGGCTGATGTGGTGGTGGGGTCTGTGTAGGGCTATCAGAGAATTGTCATACTGGTGAGTACAGTGGCAGTCAGATTAGGAAGACTGGGAGCCAGGTATTCCAAGGACTCTGTGAAATGGTGCCTCAAACATGTCGAATTGATATTCCAACAGCTCAGGTTATCCCTTTACTCTCAAGCCTTCAAGAACTGGATTTGTCATCCAACAAAAAGATGGGTAGCTCTTCAGAGAACCTACTCAGCAGGCTCCGATTTTTACCTGCAGTGAAATCATTACTGATCCACAACTGTGCTTTGGAAAGTGAGACTTTCACAGCTCTGGGTAAGAGAACTGCCCAGTCACTGCCTGCCCTGGACAGTGACTCAGGGGAGAAGCCTGCTCACTCTCCCTATGCATGAGTTTCTTTCCAGGGTCCAGCTGCAGGAAAGCCATCAAGGGATAATTTCTCTTGTTTTCAGGAGGCAGAGGCAGGTGGATCTCTGTGAGTTCAAGGCCAGTCTGGTTGATGTAGTAAGTTCCAGGCCAGCTGGGCAGCTGGGACTACAGGGAGATCCTGTTTCAGCTTGGTCTACATAGTGAGTTCCAGGCTAGCTGGGGCTACAGGGAAACCTTGTTTCAAAAAGACCAAAAAAAAAATTTTTTTTTTTTTTTACTTTTTGTACTTATTTGTATGGCTGTTTAATGTCCATACCTAAAGCCCATTTTAGGTATTATCTACATTTCAGTTATTAATAAGCAAACAAGCCTCACAAAGATGGCTAGGTAAACACACACAAAATGACACGTTGTACTGCTCAATGTTCATTTAGAAAAGTTACACAAAAGAATAAATTTGGAGGCAATGCTATGCTTTATAAATATACTTCCTAGTTGGAAAATATATATTGTTTTAGAAAAAAAAATCTTGAATGACAGCTCTCAGAAAACATAGCTCTTTCTAATTCTAGCTACATAATCAAGAAAAAAATAAGCTAGCCAAATGAAATCACATCATCTGGCCTAAGTCTACCACTCAAATTAAGCTGACAGATATATTCTATACCACTTTTTAAAAAAGAACAATAGAAATTTTTATTTATTTTTATTGTTAACATCTGTACCATGAGTGGCCAAGATTTCTACCAGACAGTCTAAAGGAATAAGTAAATTCTTCTCGAACACTTACTATTCTTTGAAAGCAGAACAACATGGGGGGAAATTTCTGGTTAATTTTAGCTTTAGGAGTCAATGGAGAGTTACTGTCTTTAAAAAAAAATCTATCCAGGGCCTGGAGAGATGGCTCAGTGGTTAAGAGTACTGGCTGCTCTTGCAGAGGACCTTCAGTTCCCAGCACTCATATGGTGGTTAATAACCATCTGTAACTCCAGTTCCTGGGGAATCTGACACCCTCTTCTGACCTCTGCAGGCATTGCACGACATGGGTGCAACCTACCTACATGCAGGCAATACACTCATACACATAATATAATAAAAATAACAAAAACATTTTTTAAAAAATTATTTAAAATGCACTAGTTCTATACCTTGCCTCAGTAATTGCATGAAGTTAACACAGATACAGCTTAGTGCTCTGGAGTC